AGGCTGCCAGGAGTTGAGATCCTGGCCCTGACACCCAGCTGAGGCTGGAAGCAACATTCCCAACCTGAATTTATGCAGAGGAGTGAAGATTAAATCCCCAAGCTGTGAACGTGTCTAAGATTCGGGTTGATGTCTCCAGTCCAGGCTATCCACCCCAGCCCTAGGGTGGGCTTGCAACACCACCTTACTCCCTGATTCCATGAGCTGTAGTTGCAGTCTGAGAGAGTCAGAACCTGTCCTTGATGTGATTTTCATGCTGGTATTTAACATCCTGAAAGGTTTGCTATGGTTCTAAGCCTCAGCTAACATTAGACAAATAATGGGCACTAACCACACGTAGCATCAGGAAGAGAATCTCAGCCATGAGGGACTACTCCACGTAGAACACAGCAGGCAGAGTTGGTGCAGAAACCTCCTTCTGTATGGAGGTGGATGCTGCCTTCAGAGAACCCATCCCTCCAGAGGAGCTGGTCCTTGTTCTGGAGAGCCCCACATCTCATGGTCAAAGAGTTTTTCCTTTGTTTTGTTTTTCTGAGACAAGGTCTTAGGTTGGCCTGGAACTCACGACCATCCTGCTTCAAGTGTCTGAGTGGTGGGATTATATATATGACGCCCCAGAGTGGCTTAAAAGGAGTTCATGTAGACTGAAGAAAGGGGCAGGCCGGACTGTGGTGGCTGACTGTTAATCCCAGTACTTGGGAGGCAGAATCAAACGGATCTCTGTGAGCTGAAGGCCAGACAAGTCTATAGTAAAACCCTGTCTAAAATAAAACAGAAGACAAACAAGAACAACAACCTTAAGGGAAGCGGGGGAGGGAGGGAAGGAGCAGAGTCGTGGTGATCACCCACTGAGCCGTATTTGCCTAGCAGTGGAGTAGGTGCGAGGGATACCAACAGGGAAGCTGTTCCTGCCCTAGGGCTGCCCACTCTCTGAATCTGCTTTCTCAAGGCCAGCTCAGCAACATCAAGTACACAATAATACCTTCCTTTTGTAGTATTATTATAATTATTTGGGGGGGGGACGACAAGGTCTCACTATGTAAAACAGGCTGTCTACAAACTTGTAGATACACCTGCCTCTGCCTCCCAAGTCCTGGGGTTGTGTCACTATGACTGCTGCTTTTTGATTTGTTGAGATAATATCTCATTCTGTCACCCAGCCTGGTCTGGAACTCTCTGCAAATCCCAGAATGGCTTCAAACTTACCTTCCTTCTGCCTCAGCCACCCAGGAGGTAGAATTCCATGTATGGTATGCTATGATGAGCTTAACTCTCCTTCCGTATACCCAACTGCTTACATAACTGCCCAGCACATCTGACCATGTCGTATCACATTTACATCAAACCCTGTGTCACACAGGGGCCCCATAATGAAGGGGAAAAGGAGGGGAGGAGACCCCCCAGCTTCACCCCCACTCTCAATTCACAGCCCAAGAGTTGCCCTGATGGAGGCTGATCTGACCTGGCTTTCTCTCCGAGAAGGTAGCATGTGGGCTCAAGGAGCCTCTGGGTCAGGCTGTGCCCTACCTTTCCTCCTCCAGCCTGAGTCTTGTATTTACTTCGGTGTGTGTGTGTGTGTGTGTGTGTGTGTGTGTGTGTGTGTGTGTGCATGTTGACAGAGAGGGTAAGATGTTTCACATATACACACTCCCCGGGCACTTTCTCTTCATTGTTTGGGGCAAAATGAGTCTCCAGCTGCAAGGGAGGGGCTGTCAAGAGGTTGGAGATGATGGAAGAATTAGTGAGATTATGAAAGCAGCCTTGGATGGTCTCTGGGGGCGATGAAGTCGATGGCTCCAGACATGACAGCCAGGAGGCGGAAGCCAGTGGCAGGATGTGGAGTCCTGAAGAGGGTCTGGGAGGGCAGAGGTGGGATTGTGCCTGGAGACGTCACCCACCTAGACTTCATAAAAGGCGCTGTGATCAGGGAGCCAGAGGGAGTAAACCCGGGAGCCAGTGGTTTCTCTCGGTTTGTTCCAACTATCCAAGTGGTCCTTCACCCTCCAGCCCTCAAGCCAGAACCCAGCCAAGGTAGGTACACTGCTGACAGGACCTGGGACTGCCCTGACCCGGGGAGGATTTGGGGAAGCAGGCCTTCAACCCAAGGCCAACTGAAGCATCAAGTAAGCTGAAAGCAAGGAGCACCAATTGCTCCTGATTGCCAGGCTGGCCAAATTATCCTGGGATGCCTGACTGAGTACATTGGCCTGAGTTATGTGTGGTGTGTGAGTTGTGTGTGGTGTGTGTCTGCATGTGTATGCATGTGTGTTCTTTTGGATTTTCAAATAGTTCAATTCTCCTGTATGCATGGCATGCCTTGTAGACTGAGCAGTTAATTAAGAGTTATCAGGGTCTGGGGTGTCTGTATGTGTGGCATGTGTGTGACATATGTATGTTGAATGTGGAACGCATGTGGTATGTATTTGGGGTATGTGCATTGTACATTATTTATTTATTTATTATTTTGCTGTGTAAGTGTATGAGCATGGCACACATATGGACGTCAAGAGGACACCTTGTGGGAGTTGGTTTTCTCCTTTCATCATGTGGGCCCAAGGAATCAAACTCGGATCATCAAATTTGATAACAAGCACATTTATCTGCTGAGCCATCTCACCAGCTCTTTTTTTTTTTTAAGTTCAGCGTATTTATTATATAGAGTTGAACAGGGAGGCAGGGTTATTGCATATAGATAAACAAAGAGGCAGGGTTTTATATAGAGTCGAACAGGGAGGCAGGGATAATTTTTGTAGGAGCAGTCTCTATAGGGACAGTCTTCTATAATGGGCATTTTCTTCATACACTGTCAACCTGTGAACTTGGACCAGAAGGTTTGCCATCCCCCTGAGGCTCACCGGGGAAGGTTCTACCACTCCCATGGGTCTGAAGCATTGGCGTCCTTGACATATGGGGTGAGGGTGTGTTAGGGGCAGGCAGAGTCCTCACATGCTACACGTGAGAAGTGCTGTCCATGATCGAGTGGAGTACTACAAGGACAGGGAGGCAAACATCAGGACCACCCACCAGATAACCCCCCCTCCCTCCCTCACTTACCACCCTGCTCTGCCCAGAGAAGCCAGTAGATACCATCTTCAGAGCGTGCTGATATATTCCTGCCTTCCTCCCACCCCTTTGGGATAGAACCTGGGGTGGCTTTCTCTCCATATGAAGCTCTAGCTTTGTATCCAGCAGCCCCATACCCAGACCTGCCTGCCATTCCAGCACCACTAGTCCAGGCAGATCCGCTGAGGTGAGCGGCTTCTGCGAGCCCTCTTCGTCTGGCACACGCTTGTCCAGGTACCACCACCAGCCTGGACCCTCCAGGTTGGGCTTCCCAGCTGCCATCACCTACACTTTAACATGTGTCTGGTGTGATTTTGTGTTACTAGTCTAAGCTGCCTATGAGTCAACTTGTTACACTAGACTTGGGATCAGGGGTACCCTGTGTCAGCATCCTCAGCATCCCAGCACGTAGCACAGTCCTAGTCTGTAGACAGTTTCCAGCAGTGCCTTACATTGGCCCTGATAACTGAGGCTCTGCCTAGTGGATTTGATCTCTACTCTATATTCTATTCAGGACTTAAGGTAGCTGCAAAACATATCTGGCTTTCAGTCTGCTCGTCTTAGTAGCCATCTGAGCAGGCACCTTGTGGCCAGGCTAATCAATGGTGCCTGGAGATGGGCGTGGCCTATACTCATTACTGATAGGATGAGGGAAAAGCTGGATTCTTTTTTTAAAGTAATTTATTTTTATTTTATGTGCATTGGTGTTTTGCCTGCGTGTGTGTCTGTGTGAAGGTGTCAGTTCTTGGAGTTGTAGACAGTTGTGAGCTGCCATGGGGGTGCTGGGAATTGAACCAGGGTCCTCTGGAAGAGCAATCAGTGCTCTTAACAGCTGCGCCATCTCTCAAGGCCTCAAGTCAGGATTTCTCCTCCACATGTGCCAGTCTGCAGTTGGATTGGGAGGGGACATAGTGGCAGGATGTGTGGTGCTGAGAAGCCACTCCTAACAGTTGGTCACAATGACACTCTCCACCCCTGGCCTCCGAGAGAAGCGTAGGTTCAACCTGTTGTGCCACCAGCCTCCTGGGCACTTTGTCCTTAATCCCATTAGTTGGACAGTGTCAAAGTTCTTGGTGACTTTTTCAAAGGGAAATTGGCCTTGGGAGCTGGAGAGGTGGGGGGAGTGGGGAGCAGGAGAGGAGAAAGGCAGAGTGGCTTGATGAGGGTCAGGCTACAGAGCTCCTATCTCAGCAGTCAAGCTGATGAGGCCAATTTAGTTGACAGCCTCCCAGAGCCCATGAGAATAGAAGCAACTGATGGGCTAGATGAGAAAAAGGCTTTTCCTGCCCTGAATTATAGGCAATAAAACAATTTGATGATGGTCTCCAAGGCTGCGGAGAGCTTTGAGAATGTGCAAGATGATTGCCTCTTTCTTCCTTTTTTTCCTGGAAAAGATAAGGAATTGGGTTTCTATTATAGCAGGAGGGACAGAGCCAGATTGAGGAAGGTGTGTACCACCCAGGAGAGCAGTGCAAAGAACGCTGTGCTGTTTGTCTGCACAGAACCCAGCACAAAGGGGAGAAGGGCTTGGCCCCAGGCTCCCAGGAGAAGAGCTGAACCTCAGAGCACACTCCTGCGTGACCCCATCTACCTCCCCTTCCCTGATCACCCCCATGTACTGCACCTTACTCTTCTGCATTCCTCTCCTGCAAACCCACAACCCACAAACCCACCATTGTCCAGCGAAAGCAGCGAAAGCCTTCCACCAAATCTGACCCTTCCTCTTTGTCCTTCCCTCCTGCCCCTTCAGTCCTGTTCCCCATGGTCTTGTTTCAGGCTTATCCCTGACCAGGCCAACACTGGTCCCAGGGCTTTCTCCTCTCCCCCAGGCTCTCTTTGGCCCGGGCTCCGGTGCAGTGCTCACTCTGACCTAGTCTTAGTGGCCTCTGTCTCCCTCAGCCTCTGGACACATCGTGGACGTGCCTCTTGCTGCCAGAATGACCGCGTTGGCTTCTTGGCAGCTGCTTCTTCTCCTCTGTGTCACCATCTTTGGGGAGCCACTGGCAAAGGTGGCACCTGTGGCGAACCCTGGACCCACAGGTACGCATGGTCCAGGAAAAGGGGCCACGAGAGTCATTGGGCATGGGAGTTACCATGTTTTCCAGACTTAGCCAGGCTCCTGACATGAGTTTAATTACTGTACTTGATGGATAGCTGGGGCCGGCCCAGGCCCCATCTGCTGTGAGCACAGGAGGCTCCTCTAGGTCCAGGGGCCTAGTCACCCTAGCTCCTTTGTGATTGACTCCTGCTGTGCTCTCTGCTTTACACCAAGCACTTCTCTGCGTGCATGCTGGAGAAGGAGCCAAATGTGTGAATTACTTTTATCAGTGACCTCAGATCCCTTAAGGGGGATTGAAAAACAAACAAGCAAATGAAAAAACAAAAACCTCAACATATAGGCAGACCTTAATGTCTGTCAACCTCTCGAGTTCACCGAGTTCACCGGGGGAACTGATGAGCTGGGGAAACTAAAGCCCAGAGAGGCAAAGTGTTCCCCAAAGTAACTCAGCCAAATACTGACGAATCCCAGCAGGTGCCAGGGTACACCAAGAGCATGGCTGCTGAGTCAGGGCACAAGTTTGAATTCTCCATGGTCGTCTGCTTTCTGTACATACTAGAGCTTGCTCTAGTATGGACCTCAGATCTTAGACAAGGAATACAGGACCCCCCTCCCCTTCGAATCTGACATCATTGTACATAACCCTTAAAGCAAAAGAGAACAGGACCCCAGACATTTCACCAATGGTGTCATCATTCCAGGGCAAAGAATAACCCCACCACTGTCCAGGGACTCTGGCTGTTGGCTCTGTCTGCCCACACAGTAATCCTGTGTGTGGAACTGAGATCTTCTCTCCCACACAGTGAAGGTAGGAGAGGTCTCCCAGATGGTTATTATTAATCTTGGACCATAGCCACACTCATCTCCAAAGTGTGCCAGGGTATCGAGGAGCAAGGCTCAATGCCATCCTCCACCCAACACCCACTTACATCAGGACTCTTTACTACTAACAAGCTATAATTGACTTGCCTTATTGTGTACGCTGAGCTACTTGCCCTGTTTTCCTGCCAGAGAAAGAGAGAGAGAGAGAGAGAGAGAGAGAGAGAGAGAGAGAGAGAGAGAGAGAGAGAGAATCTAATGAGCCTTGCCTGTGAAGTGTTTTCAGAGGTAACCTTGTTAGCTTCCAGCAGGAAGGGGAGGCATTGCACCTACCTGGGGGAGCTGCCCCTGCTAGAGCAACATAGATAATGTGTGGTGGTCACTAAGTCTTGATACTGTATATGAAAGTTTACAATCC